TCACTGTCATTTTACTACTGTGATGAATCGGGCGACCCCTGTGAAAGGGTTGTGGGACCCCGAAAGGGATCTCGACCCCACAGGTTGAGAACCGATGGATTAAGCACAAGGGTCTGTGCAGCGCCCTGGGCCTGCCCCACCCGGCATTCAAGTGCCCACCGCCCGCAGCAGCCTACTGCCCTCTCCGAAGCCTTCCAGGTGCACTGCCGCAGGTCCACTGCAGCCCAAGTGCTGTTCCTCACTGGGGATGCCTGCACTGGCCTTGTCTGGCACCACTCGGGGCCAGGCTCCCATGGACATGAACATGCTCCACCCCCAAGGGAGACCACCGAGCTGGGAGCCAACATCCTCCCTCGCCAGCCTGGTCTTCTCAGTCACTCCATGTGCGGATGAATGCTGGACCATGAATGCGGCAGACCAGGAAGAACTGGTGCCTTTGAATGATGGCATTGGCGGAGAATAGCGATCCGACCAGGGGCTGCTGGGAGAATGAGCCCGAGGAAGTACAGCCAGAATGGACCTTAGAAGGGAGGACGGGGGGGACCAGTTCCAGAGAAGGACTGATATGGCTGTCACACTGGACCGTGGCTTAGCACAGGGTCGCTATGAGCTGGAACTGACTGGACAGTACCACGTCAATCTCCAGGTGCCTGCCCCCTCCCTGCCCACCGTTCACCCCCACATGAGCCCATGCAGGTACCCAAAGCCACCCGAAACCTGTGCCTAGAGGGGCCAATCCTAGGATGAGAATACCAGACCGGAAAGGACGGCCTGCCTGCTTCCCTGCCTCAGTTTCCCCATCTGCAAACAAAGGGGCTCAGCTCGAATCACTCCTCTGGGGGAGTGGCACCTGCTTCTTCCCACGTCTACCTCCTACTTCCTGATGTGGCTGCGGCCCCAAACTCAAGTGGCAGGGACGTGGCCCGCTCAGAGCAGATGGCGGGCGGCGGTGCTGTTGTGGGCCAAGGTGCTGGGGAAGAGCTGGGGCCAGGATTGGTCTCAAGGCACTGCGATTCCAAGCGAAGGAGAGGCACCTCAGAATTACATCGGCCTGCTCCCTCCCTTCCCATGCCGACGGCCCATGGTCAGAGGCTAGTGGCCTCTGAGCAGCGCAGGCTCACTGGGCAGCAGGGTCCTTTCTGGCCAGCTGCTGCCTGTGGGGAAGGCAGACAGGCCATTTCCCCAGGCACTCCATTTCAAACGCGAGCCATCTGTTCAAAAGTCCCCTTGCCACCCCTCCCCACAAAGCACACAAACCATATCCCGTCTGCAGCCTGAACCCACAGTCAGCTGGGGATCTGCACCCAGGCCTGGCCACTGTCCTTATGCAAAGAACACAGCACAGGCAGTGGGAGATAGAGATCTGGCCACGCTTCACTGCTACGCCCTGAGCCTGCTGCCAAAGCAAACCTAGATATTCTGGCAGGATGACTGATTACCTTCCCTGAGTGCTACAACCAGAGCCTCCCCAGCCAGACCGTGCCCCAAAGTCACTAGGGCGCCGCCTTCCTCGGTGCTTGTCTGCAGCCTTGCCTGCCAATGTGCTGGCCATGGATGGCCCAGTGGCCCACCCACTGGGCATGGGCACAATCTGTCCTGTTCACAGAGCAGGGCTAGAGCCCTACAGATGGCAGTAAGGGGGTGTTAAGCTGAAGAATGAATGAATGACAGAAATAGAGAAGGTGGGGGTAGAGGGGCATCTCTGGCCTCACCCACTCTCTCAGATGGAACACAGGCTGTCAGGTGTTTGAGGACGATGTCCCCATCCTGGGATGCACAGGTAGGTCACAGGCCAGCTCTGTCTCCCTCCAGGTTCATCCGGGACCCTAAAGGCCATGTCGGCAGCAATGACCCAGCCTTCTGCCCACTGGCGCCGCTCTGAGCCCTTCCCCTCTCTCCAGCCCTCCCCCACTCAACTTCTGTCCTCATCCTCCCAGGTGAGCCAGACAATCATCGGGGATAATCGGCTTCCCTGCCAGAATGGTTCTCAGTCTGGATTAGCCTACTTGTGCCCCAGAGTCCCTGTGGGCAGCCCTCTGGGACGGGGGAGGAAAGCCTGGCCCATGGGCCTCCGCTGTGTCTGAGTGTCTCCATGGTGGGCAAGGAGCACCCACAGCAGTCCCCCGCCCGCAGTTTGTCTTGTTGGAGACTCACCCATCGAGTGTGGTTCCCCTCTGGAGGAGGTAACCAACTCTCGAAACAGACGGCAAACAGTGGCCTCGGAAAGGGAGGCTCTTACCTGAGGCTACCTGGCTGGTTCCCCTCTGCAGAAGCAGCTTCCCACACTCCTCTCCCACATGGGTGTTGTTCTTCAGGAGCCTGGGGGGCAGAGAGAGGTGGGGGTGCACAGGTGTGATGCAGTTATCACAGCAACCCTGGGTGTCCACGCTCACTGCGTTGTGGCACGGACCAAGTGGCCCCTGAAAGCAGGGCCGAGAAGCAGAGGGCGAGGCTGGGAGGCAGGCTGCCCAGCGTGGATGGTGGTTTTTGTGCAGTTGGGTGTGGGTGCGTGGGTTTGAATTCCTTTCCCACTGAACTCTTATGAGCCAGTTGATTTTCAACACAAAGCAACCCTACAAGACAGAGTCGAAGGCTCTGTTGGGTTTCCAGGGCTGTAATCCGTAGGGGTCCAGGCTGTCCTTCCTCCTGCACAGCAGCTGGGGGGTTAGAACTAGTGACCACTCAGTTAGCAGCTGACCACTTAACCACTACAACACCAGGGATCCCTGTCAGCTCCTTCAGACACAGACATTTACGGAGCCCCGGTCACCAAGGGTCGGAACGGACTGGAAGGCAGCATGGTTTGGGCCACCTACAGGCACAGTGGCAGGCACAGGGGGGCACTGATGGCCCCCGGAGATTCAGGAGGGGGGGCAGGCAAGTCAGCAGGCTGTTGGGCCACGTGGTCACTTCCAGCACAGGTGCTATGGAAGCCCAGGATGTGAGCAGCTCACCTGGGCAGTCAGGGCAGGCTTCCCAGAGGAAGTGCCAGCCAGCAGAGGCTGGAGGGAGGAGGTGGGGGGTGGGCGTTAGCAGGTGTAGGGGAGGCAGGTCCAGGTGGAAGGGGGCCACAGGCTGGTGACCCGGAAGGAAGGAAAGGTAGGGATGGAACGTGCTGGGGAGGAGGCAGGGGAGAGGAGGTGGGACAGAAAAGGGCACAACAGAAGTGATGGTGAAGGGTGTGGCTGCTGAGCGGGTCCAAGGGGCACGGCGTCCTGCTCTGGGGCATCTGGGAAGAGGAAGCCGTTCAGGGCTGGGGCCACGGAGAAGGGGCTCCTCACGCACGGCGGCGTGGCACCCACCCCTGCAGCATCTCCTCGGGGCTGATCACCATGGAGGGCTTCTGGTTGGTCTCCAGCTGCAGCACGTGCTCGATGGCTCTCCGTCTGTACGTCAGCATGTTGTTAATTTCCTGAGGGTACAGGCACCGCTGGAGGAGGGCGGAAGTCCTCCAAGGCCCTGTCCCGCCCCATATCCCCAACTGCCAGAGGCTCCTGCTGACCAGAGGGAGGAGCTTGTCATCAGATAAGCAGCTCAGCCCCGCCCCAGGTTGGTGAAGGCAAGGCAAGAGAGGAGCCTGTCAGGGACAAAGTGCCTTCCAAAAGGCAGCTGAGTCCGGGTGGCCCCATGGGTGACTGCTTCCACAGGCCAGGTGCGACTGTGGCTCAGCAACGTCACCTGGGTCCATGAAGGCCGGTACATGGGGGTGACTGCACCCGCTATCAGCAACCTTTCTGCTCCCTAACTCTGCCCCCCACATCCTCCCTGACAATGGAGCAGGGACCTCCCCCACCCCACGCAGAGGGGCTCCCTGTGCACATTCAGTGGGCACGGCCACATAGAGAAGGGGGGTGGCCCGCCTACAGTCTTCCTGGGGCCTCTGTGAGCATTCCCTGGGGGGCACACTGCCCCGCTCCTGGAGCTGACACAAGAGGCTGAGGGCCCTCAGGGACATGCGAGGTCATCTCAGCCAAGCACCTCCCTGGACCCTTCTGGACGCCACGACCCAGGGAGGGGAAGGGACTTGCCAAAGCCACAAGACAAAGGCACAGCAGTCAAACCTCAGATCCAGTGTGACCAGAGGGGGGAGGGGGCAAGTGTCCTCCAAGGCCCCCCGGCCTGCAGGGCTCCAGTGTGGGCTTGGGACTGAGCTTCCCCAGCCCCCTCCGCCCACCCTTTGCCAGGGCAGGACCAGAGACCCCAATCTTTGATGCTCCACCGGCCCAGACTGGGAAGACCCCAGTCTTCCGGATCCACGGGGCATCCTGAGGCTTCTAGACCAGGGTTTCCAAAGGTAACAAGGCCCGTGCTCTTTCCCTGACCACTCCTGAGGGCACCAAATGCACTGATGTCCTCTGGGAGGGGGATCCCCTGACACCCCTTGTCCTGTCCTTAGCCACCAACTCGTCCTGCCTGGCACCCACCACACTACAGGCCCTGCTCACATTTATGTCCAGGATGAAGGGCACAGATTCCAGGAGGATGAGCTTGTCCACCATCTCAGGGAAGACACAAGAGAACTGGAGGGACACAAATGGGGAGGCATTAGGGGAAGGGACCCCGAGTCTGCCCTGAAGACCTCTCCTGACACAGCTTTTGGCGAGGGTGGGGGGGGCGGGGAGGGTGCTGAGCACAATGCTAGAAGAATCTCCCATGTCCCCTTGCTCCCTAGTGTGCACCCTGCCTCCAGCTCAGACTCTACTGGCCACTGGACTCCGATGCTCTCTGTAACAGATCAGATGGATGGCAGACAGTGGGCAAATAGAAATCTTTTCAACCACCTTCCCCACAAGAATGCCCAAACCAAACCAAACCAAACCAAACCAGTTGCCGGGTGTGGATTCCGTGTTACAGAGCAGAGCTGCTCCACAGGCTGGTCGGGGCAGTGGCCTTTCTTCCCAGGAGCCTTTGCCAATCTCTCAGTTAATCATCAACATCTCGGCTGTCTGCACCATCCCGGGACCCTGCCCCACAATCAGTGCTACTAGTATGACGTGCGAAGCAACAAAATGGGTACCAACGGTGGGATGGAAAACGGATCCGTTCTGTACATTGCCACCCAACTCATCATTTTTTTTTTAATCCCTACAACTGGACCGATAAGCAACATCATGTTAAACGCGAGAAAGGATCGAAACAGTTAGGGTTTCATTTTTCAGGGATCCACAGTCGACGCCCATGGACACAGCTGTCAAAACACCCAAGGGCGGATCAGGTCACATTGGGAACACGTGCTGCACAAGACCCCTTCTGCAGATTGTGAAAGCCAAGATGTCATGCTGAGGGCTGAGGTGCGCCTGACCCAAGCCACTGTCTTCAGTCCCCTCGGGTGCAGGTGTAAGCTGGACAGGGACTGAGGAGGACGGAAGCAGAATGGTGGTCTTGGAGAAGCACGCTGAGAGGACACTGGACGGCCGGGATGAACCGCCTGTCCCCCAAGGAGAGCCAGATGCTCCTTAGGAGCCGGAATG